TTATATTACTAATTATAAGTTTATATGACGCTGGTACTCGAAATATATTTATTATTTTTTTAAATTTAACCAATATTTACTATTTTTATAAAACTTAATATGGGTACGTAATATTGACATTTTAGTTGTTTTATATTAAAGTAATTTTATGTTCTCCATCACTGAGGCGTACATATATTGCTTAATCCCTTAGGGTTGACTCATTTGCATTTTATGATGTATTATATTTGAGGTTTGTCGGGGTGGTAAGGTAGATATGAAGGTATCAATTATTACACTTTTTTTGTGTTGCATTGACCAACCCTGTATTTAGACCTTTGCTATAAAATTTGTGCTATCAATCATTTTTAAATTTACTATACCTCTCTGCGAATTTTCAGCCAATTTAACTGAAATCACTTTTACATAAGAAAAGTACCGGGGTCCCTTAAAGGCGGCTACAGACACAACTGCAAGCTTGTCCAGCATGCTTGTTCAATCTTTTTGTACAAGTATGCACAATTTGCCTTTGGCACCACACGTACAAGCATGCTTGATAAAAATAGAGGTAGTTTAATTAAATATGTTGAGTTCGGACGATGATGTGCTCGCTTTGGTCGCTTTTGTTCTTGTGAAAAAAAAAATCCCGAATAAAAAAGCCTACGGTGTGGTGTAAACAATGGTTGATAAAAAGGAAAACCTATTCTCACATTAACTTACTAGACTTAGACTAGACTTAGATCTAGACACTAGAAAGTGTGGGCTCATAACGTTCTTCTGCTCCCATTCCAGAGTGGTCCGCATCTTTAACTATTTTCTTTTCTCTTCTATAAATAGTTCTTAAGGAGTTTATTTTTTTAACAACTGCATCCTTGTCAGCATTAACGTCAATTAACCTAGATTTTTTCAATAATATTTTATATGTTGCATCCTTTTTGCTTTGTTATGATAATCTTTGGATTAAACGGCCCAAAGACATGGCTGATTTTGGTATTCTTGAAGAAACTCTTCCAATACACGGAAGTCATGACGAAAATTACTCAAATGCTACCTCACAAAGCAACACAACGGATGCCAACTTGTTCAAGCTTGAAAATTTGTTTGCGCAAGCACGCTTAATTCAAGCATGCATAGTTAAGATCATTTCAGTCCTCAAGCCGCTTGTATAATCACAAAGCTTGCACCACATTTACCTACAGACACAAATATGCTTGTCCAGCATGTGTGTCTGTAGCCGCCTTAATAAAAATTGCTGATACCCGTTACCGATTACAATCGTTAAAAGTACTAAAAACAGCTTGATGTGTTGTTGTCGTAGAGAGATCGTATATATCCCCTCGTACAGATATAAAGCCAATTGTCAGTGTAATTTTGCCTTGTGTTTCAAGGGTATTGTTTGCGGTATAGTATCGTGTGGCCATTCACTACTTGGCACGATTATTTCACCGTTAAGTCCGAATTTTTTACATCTCTTTTGTGTAGATTCTTTTATGTAGACTCTTCAATCTGGGATACTAATTAATAGCCGAGGGATCACAGTTTTATGGTTTCGTACACGCCTTATAGGGGATTTGGCAACTATGAGTATGAGTGTAATTATGAGTATGGAAGCAATCAAACATTATATGATTATCCAACATTATTAAAACTTCTCCACCAGGTCTGTTGCAATCAGTTGCTTCTTAACTTTACATCGCCATTTTTGGACATAGGCCTCTACCAACTCCTTCCACCAATCTCTATCCTGAACAACATGCTTCCAATTTGTTCCGGCTATTTTTATATGTCATCTATCCATGTCATCTGTGGACTTCCTCTTGGTCGTCTACCTTTGTAAGGTCTAGAATGTTGTATTGTGGGTTACAACGTTTTCATGTTGTATTGTCTAGCACTGCTAGACACAAAATCAGTTTAGAGCTCCTCTTAAGCGCCGACGCCGATAGTCTTTTGCACAATTCAACTGTCCCAAAATTACTATGCAAATCAATAAAAATGAGAACAAAAGACCTTTAATATTTCACTGTTTTCTCTATTAAAGTGTTCATACTTTTTATATCGGCATTGGTTACGTAAGCTTTTTGGAATCCTGCTTGTTTTCTAGGTTAATGTTAATAATAATCTCTAATTTTCTTTCCATTATTGTATCTATTAGAGGAAGCATAAGACTTATCGGTTAATAATGAACGTAACCGATAAGTCCTTCTAGAGACGTAGGATAGATAGCGAATTCCTGGCGCCATAAAACTGTGATCCCTCGGCTATTAATTAGTATCCCAGATCGAAGAGTCTACATAAAAGAATCTACACAAAAGAGATGTAAAAAATTCGGACTTAACGGTGAAATAATTGTGCCAAGTAGTGAATGGCCACATGATACTATACCGCAAACAATACCCTTGGAACACAAGGCAAAATTACACTGGCAATTGGCTTTAGCACGCTTGAGTGTCTGTAGGTAAATGTGGTACAAATTTATACGTCCATGGGTGCAAGCTTTGTGATTGTACAAGCGGCTTGAGGACTGAAATGATCTTAACTATGCATGCTTGAATTAAGCGTGCTTGCGCCAGCAAAACGGTAAAGATAATTCATAATGTCCTGGACCTGACGTAATCATTTAGTGACGTCGATCTACGAACGAAATCAGGCATTTCTAAAAACATGCAGTTCTCTTCAGTGCGTTATCGTAGCGAGACAGAGACAAACTAGTTTTTGCGTTAGTGAAATAGCTTTTTATATTTTTATTTTATAACTTATAAACAATCTAAAATTGAAAAAAAAAACTAAAGTGGCTTAAAAACACACAATTATTTTTGAGTTCCCCAAAAATTCTATCAGTTTCTGATACTTTAGTTTGGGCTTATTTGATTTTAAAACATTGTTTTTAGTTGTTTGAGGGCCTTATCCCAACCTAAAAATGGATTTATACAAAACTTTAATAAATTAGGACCACTTTTTGTATGGGCGACCTCTTGAACAATATTCTGCGATCTTTTATGAAAGGATTATGCAAAAAATCTTATGCGAATATTTTCCCCAAGGAATTCGAGGTTTTTCGTCTCGTATAAACATATTTTGCTGAATTTAAAACCAAAACCCTATTATTTTTCTATAATACATTAATTTGTTATTTATTTATTTGTCCTCTAGATTTTTTTCGGTTCTTAAAAGGTTTATTTACAAGCCAAATTAGTGCAATGTAAATATTTTACATTTTTACACAGCAATTCTTATCGGCAGTGAAGACGGGAAGTCGTAAATTTTTATTACATTTTTCAATGTGAGATAAAATAAAAATGCGATGACTAACTGGAATGTTTATGATTAGAGAAACATAATATGTCATGTTTATTGGAAATACTTAACATCATTAGCACGTGCAAATCCTACTATGTCGCCCACGCCCAATTTCCTATGAAATTAAAATGGTGCATGTTTTTAAGATCCAGATCCATTTATTTTTTCGGACATGCGCATTTACGAGGTCCACGAGGTTTTGAAACATTTCTACGTGTGTACCCAAAATTTTCAAACTTGAACAAGTTGGCGTCCGTTGTGTTGCTTTGTGAGGTAGCATTTGAGTAATTTTTGTCATGACTTCCGTGTATTGGAAGAGTTTCTTCAAGAATACGATATATCGAAGATATATCAAGAATACGAAGAATAATACGATATGATGATATATGTATATATATATATATAACGTTTATGTACGATTACATTGTTGCAACATACCAATGAAATTTTATGCATTTTAAATATGTTATATAAAACTGCCTTTTATATAAATATTTTAACTATTTCTTTTCCGTACATAAAACTTTCGCCTACGGTTTCATTTGTTGCAATTAATGTAATTTTACGTATCTTTAAATACGTGTATAAAAACGGTCTTTTATATAGATATTTTCAACTTGTTCTTTGTTTTTATATAAATTTTGTCTACGATTACATTTGTCACAATATACTAAGGGAATTTTATGTGTCTTTATATGTGTTATATGAAAATTTTTGTAAACATTTTCAACTTGTCCATAAAATTTTTATAAATATTGTCTACCTGTTATAAACTTTTATCTAGGGTTATGTAATTGTATTGTACTTTTGATAAATATGTGTTTCTTTTTTAAATAAAACTTTTTCTCCAGCAAAAGAGTCTTCAAAGGGAGGGGGATGTCGATCCTGGTGCCTTTTAGTCGCGAACTAATGCGCACCCTGACGTGCGTCGGCCCTTCTCCCTACCTTTTATTCAATTTTCTATTGGCCAGGAGGTCCGAAAATCTCATATAAATATTAAATTGTCTTTAAATATGGGATTATTCGGATCTCACGGCAGTCGAGGCCTAGCTTCGCTACGGTCCCCACGTAGGGTATCCTACGCTTGGGAGGCCTCCTTCATGGGGCTCCGCTCCTTCCTTGTCCTTAGACTCTTTTGCTAGGACCTTTGTCTACGACTAAACTGTGTTACATTTATCTTCCCATCTAATTAAGATGAAAACGCAGAGGTAGCTCCGGATTGATTAACCGAAGCCCTCTGTAGAGCACCTAGAGAGCTGATATGGAGTCATTTCGTATGAAGACCCTACTCTCCCCATGGTGACAATATATAGAAATATATATATATATATATATATATATATATATATATATATATATATATATCAATGGTGTTCCGGGTTTGACTCCGCGTTAAATGTACATTTAACGCGGAGTCAAACCCGGAACACCATTGATATAACATACAGCTCCCGCGGAAATATCAAAACTAATATATATATATATATATATATATATATATATATGTATAGAAACAGAAAGGAAGAAAAAAATGTATAAATTGTAATTTTTAGTTAAACAAGTTGTCAAATTTGAGTGTGGTATTTTACTAAAACTCTACCAAGTAATTTATTTACACATATGAATGCCCTCGAATATACGTTCTACTTTCAATTTATTGTCTTACTAAGTTACAAACAATTGATCGTAATTAACTATACTAAAATTTCTACATTACATTGTAGCTGCAGATACAACATCAGCAGTTCAAGTACCAGACACAACTGAAAAAGAGAAACCCTTTGATCTTACTGCAGCTAATACTGAATCATGCTCTAGAGAAGACAGTGATGATGTTCCTCTTCAGTTAGAAGAAATAAATGAAGCCGACAAAAACAATAGTTTACAAAACGTAAGTATTTTTTGGCATACTTTATTTTATTTTAAATATTAATTTTATATTACAAGGCGTACTCTTAAAGTTTTGAACACATAAATACATGGAAAACATATTTTTGGAAAAAACTAGCTTTACTGTTGTTAAATTTTTCATTTCGAATGCTTCGGCTTTCTCAACGGGCGTCTTAAAACGTTTACCGTCTAGTTTGTTTTTGATTCTTAGGAAGGCAAAGCAATCACACTGTGTTAAGTCAGGATATTATGCATAATGGCATACAAATATTATGATTTTTGCCTTCAAATACTCGGATGGTATATGAACCGTGTGGATGCTAGCATTGTCCTAATGCAAGAGGATGCGAAGATTCCGATTGTTTTTACTTAGCCCATCAAACACTTTAGACAAAAAAATGGTTCTATACCATGGACGTATAAACACAGATGGACTCAGTTATTTACATAAAATTGTGAAGTCAAAATTATTTGAATAGGTCACATTCTCAGCACCTTCAACTGTTGTCACGTTTTGTTTTAAAATTTCTTATTCGCGAGTCGCTGAAAATATTACTCCGTATTTTATACTCTACAGGTGCTATCAAACCAAAATAATAATTGATTGGTTAGATTAATATATTTAATTGTAATCAAAATATAAAGTGTGCACATAGTGTTCATTATCATTTAATAATAGCGTATAATTAATAGATATCAATCAATTATTTTATATGTAGAAGCACTAAAAACTATTTATAAATGGCAACGGTTGTTTACATTTCTCTGTCTTATGGATCTACGTCAAACTTCAAATGCTGTTCCATGTTTGTTTACTTTTTAGTAAAAGTTGTTTTTCGATATTTTGGCTGTATTTTGAGTGATATTTGTGAAAAGTGAAATAAAATAAACGAAATATTTACATCCCGATCTCTCATTTCATTTGTAAGTACATAAAATTTACATTATTTAAGATGAGGAAATGAGGAAGCGTGTTTGTTTACATTTTAATAGGCGTACCATTGGGTTTATTCATGTTCATTAATGTATTAAATAAGATATAAGTTCATGAAATTAGTAGACATTTTTAAATTGTAAGTAGACATCATCTGATTAAAAAAGATCTATTTAGTACCTTTTTAATCTAATATTTCTCATGGATGCAAATAAATTAGTGAAATGAATAAAACTCATTTATTTTTCTATGTAGGTTTCCAAATAATATTGACGATCGAACTATTTTGGTAGCAAATTTAGGAGAAAACATAAAGATTTTTTATTGTAGCATTATTTTGATACCTATTAAAAATTAACTTGAATTCAACTATATTTTATTGTATTAATTTTAAAGCAATTAAAATTGTATTTTAATTTTTATATAAAGACGTGATTTGTTAATAGTTAAACTCTCGTTTTTTTAAGTTCTTTGAACGTGTTGTTATACATTATTACTACTTCCAATTTTTAAAATCTGAATAATTACCTGCGAGTAAAAATTCAAGCACGCTTATGCTCATTGCGGAAGCATCACATTCTATCGAAGCTTCAAAACATTGTGTGTTAAAGGTATCTTATTGCTGTGTCCATCTATGTTTATAAGTCCATGTTCTATTCTATACCATTCAGCGTTGACGGTTATACCATTATATAAAGAAATCCTGGCAACATGTCCCTCTTTACCAAAAAAAAACTCACGGCCATTGGTTTCAAACACTATGAGCGTGAACTACTGTTTTTGGCTTTTTTTGTCTTGGAACACCCATACCGTTGGCATCTAAACATTCCGTATATGTATTCGGCACCTAGGACTTTTCTATTGGTTCTTTGCGGCACGCGGCAATGTTTCAACCAATAGGCGGCGAGGTGCCAGACACGTATACGGAATGTTACTCTGGTGCCAAATTCATATACGGAATGTTAAAAATATTCATAAACCAAAATAGACAACTTTTTTTTTAAATGAGTTAAAAGGAAACTGATTCTAAAATATTTGTTAATGTGTGATTAAGGAAAATTAAAAGAATGCAATAAGAAATAAAACAAAATATATTTAAATAAATTAAAAAAAATTTCAAATGTTTAAAATGTAATATTTATGCGTAATTCAACGCCCTTCGCCATGTTTAGTTGTATTTGTTTGATTTGCTGCGATATTGGACGAAAGATTGTGACTCCTTTTTCATCTTTTTTTAGGAGGTTCATCTTTAGGTGGTCTTCCAAATGGTAATCTTTTTAATCCTCTAGTAACTCCCAACTTTCTTCGGAATGTTTAGATGCATACCGTTGATGGGTTTTTTGAGTTTGGGGTCATAGCAATCTTTTTTTTAGTTTTTGTTTTTTACTAATTAAAAGAATTGTTTTTTGCTTTTTCTTTTATAAAATCCTTTTTCCAGAAGTTTTGTAATTCGGTAAGATATATTAGATTTGTCGTTTTTTTTTTTAAGATGATATGTATAATTATTTGATAAATACATGTGAAATTCCGTGTAGATGTGCAGAGCTGCAAACTCATTCATATATTTACAACTATTCAAAGCTGACGTATCGTAATATCTTTTTATAATGCTAAAATTCAATATCACGAACGTAATACAAAAACAAATTTAAGATAAACGAAGAACCTGCGTTTCGATTTAATTTGAGTACTCTGGCAAATTTGACATACTTTTTTAAGTGCAAGAGAACTCTTTACTTTTAATTGAAAATATAGAAAGATGGATTGCTGAATTTAAATGTGATCGTACTACTCTGTAAAGCGATCAATAGACGAATTAATAAGAGGCCCCCGGAACACAATAATTCGTTTGAAGATACCAAAATATATAAAAAAAGTTATAAGAAATTAAAAATATAGCCGTAAAACCAAAAATTTTCAAAAGTAGAAAACTTTAAAAAACCGTATCTTACTTAAAATTACTCGTAGGATCTTCTACAATAGACTATTTTAAAGGTAATTGATTTTTCTTTATATTACATATACTATTATATATAACTAAACCTTCCCTAAACTTGTAGAAAAAAAAAATATAGAAAAATATTTGCGGAAACATAGGGGCCCAAGAAAAAGCCTAAACATGGTGTGAGTGGCGAAGTTTGAACAATCGTATCCTGGATGCTGGGAATCATAAATTCTTCTATCAGATTTTGAAGAGAAAGGATAGAAGTTTTTTTCGTAAAATAATGCCGATGCTTATACCCCGTGGACAAAAGTGATGGGTAAAAAAATCGCTTGTTTTTATGTTTTTTTGCTTCGTTTTTGAATGTATTTTTGTCAGAAAAAAATTTTTTACTTTAAAAAGGTGACATTTCGATAGGAAATTTAATTTTGAACAACGTGTCTGTACACGTATACGAAAAGTGAATAGAATTCACCCAAGTGCACCCTAGTACATAGGGACTAATTCACCCCTTTCTCAAAAACACATCCCTTTAAATGGTAGCACTCCGTTGTTTTTCGTATTTGTAAGTCCGTTGACCATATGAAACAATAAAATCCCTTTAGTGTTGTAGCTCCTTTTTAAAGTACTTACATAATCAATAGCACATAGCTTAAAAGCCATAGCCTGAAATTAATTCTTTCGGATGATTTGTTTGACCCTTGCTTCAAGTTATTCAAGACAGTTTTGAGTTTTGCCATATCTGAATGGCAAGCTCTGCCGCATTTGCAGACTAATCCAGTTCGTGTAGAAGTTTGATGTTACAACAGCAGCTGTCTTATCTCTTATATTGGATTTGATAAGACTTTCCAATCTAACTATTTGCTATTTTTTTTCTTCTAAAATATTTCCTTAAAAATTCAATTTTCATATTTGGAGAAATTTTTATATCATACTTTTTATGAAGGTACCTTTAGTTTTAATAAAAAATAATTCAAATTACATATTTTATTTAATTATAGGTATCGTCCACTTCTTCCGATTCCGTTATAAAAGTGAACGAGAACTGTGTTACCACTGACGTACAAGTTAACGGAAGTGTTAAACATGTAGAAGATTTAGCCGTGGTGGCCGATTCAGTAGTTGAAGATGGTGATGACGACGATGACGTTGTATTCGTGGAACAGGAAAAGAAATATGAAATTATCGTTTTAGATGATTGAAAAAAATTATTTTTGAATATTTACATAGCTATCTTAGACTGAGTTTATGTATTTATATTACAAAAGAGATTTTGATTTCTGATTTTGTGATACATTATGATTCTGTATAGTGCGATGACGAGTACAAATATGAGGAGTTCAACTAATTTTTAAATGTAGAATAACTGCTATAACCTATTTGCGATACGCTTATCCTGGAACGTAGTCTAATAGACTCACGAATGTAGTATTTTTGAATAATAAAGTACTTCGTAATGTTCTATTTACGAACAATGCGGTTTTACTTTTGAGTCGAAGCTTCTATAATGGCGTTGTATTACTTTTTCTCTATCTAGCGCCACAAAAATTCTTGGCGCTACTTTTACTACAAAGCCTTGGTAAGGCGCTGTAAACAGTTGGAAGAGTCCATTTACAGCGGTTTTATGTAATTATTAATTTTTTTTTGTTTATTACACGTGTAACTAAAATAATATATAAATAATAAAATTACTATATGCAATTTTAAAAATATTATTTAGAATTTAAAAATAGAGAAAACAGTACGAAGCTTCGCGCTAGTCTACAGTACCGCCTACTGTACCAATTTTTTCTTGTGGCGCAGTTTTCTGTTCAGCGTTTAACGTTAATTACACAAAAATAATATATCTCGAGTTCTGCTGGACTAAATACAGCTGGGCCAAAGTGGAGTACAACGTTAAAATAATAACATTGATCGTATTTTCATTGCAAAATTATCCTAACTACGGGATGTATAAACCTTTTATTGTTATCATCGCATTTTATTGTTACTTTTGTATTTATTTATTTAAAATATAATTATATTAAATAAATATTATTTATAAACAGTATTAAATTGTTATTTATAAACAATTTTTATAATACTCTTATTAAATTTAAAAAAATCAGTTTTATAGTTGAAAAAAATATTTTTAGAATCAGAAATCGTATACTTATATATTATAAGAAATTATAAGTTCTTGAAGTTTAAATTTGTAATCTTACTTGAAATAGTCCTCTTATAACAAAAGTGGATGTTGCCAAGAGAAAATAATGGTAAAAAAATACAATAAATAATATGATTTAAACGTTGTACCCCAGTTCAGAAAATGAAAATTTAGTCCAGTAGAATCCGAGATATGTAATTTTATTCCTAGCGCTCTATCTTGAAACTATGTTGGATTTTTGAAGTTCCTCCCACTACTTTTACTCTAGTCGGAACGAAACGTACTGTTTGTTTACAACACTCCTGTTTAAAAAATTGCTAAAAGTTTCGTTAAAAACTTTTTTCATAAAAGACTGAGAGTAAACGTAACAGTGATTTAAAAAAAAAGGAGAGGCTATCTTGGCTCTTAAAACTCGTAGGAGCTCTTTTTTTTTAAGTTGTGTTTTTAACCAGCTTGCCAAATATTTCATGGTATTTAATTTGAACTAAATTCTACGAGTTATTGTAAATGTTTGTGCTTTTAAAAAGTGGTATTTATTATTAAATCATTTTGTGTACATAAATGTGATTTTTCTAAACCTTTGTTTTTTTCATAGGTTATTAATATACGTAAAAATAATGAGTTTGGCGTTTTGATTGTTTATTTAAACATATTTTTGCTAAAAAATTGATGAATCACTAGATATTTTTGTATTATCTAATACTACACATTTCAACTGTCAAACCCGTCATACAGTTGTGTCAAGTAATTGGATTATTATTGGAAAGATACCAAATAAAAATTACCTCTTCGCTATTAATACCCCAAATAAAATTTTCGCAGCCTTTTTTCGTAAGTACGTATATAATATCATAAGGGAGAAAATGTTGCCGGCAATATTTTCGACTGGTATGAAAGTTTGTTGCCTGTTAATTTTCGCGAATTAAATTTTGACAGTTAAATCATGAGACGTTAGTCGAGTGATTTTGTCAAAATTTCATAAGCGAAAATTGCCAATAGGCAACAAACTCAAATAAAACCAGAAGAAAATTCTTTTGCGTAAAATTTCTTACCAGCAGGAACTCCGAAAATTGGGTCCAAATAGAGCTTCTGGACCTCTCTGCGTGTTCAATGGGACATTTTCCGAAACCAATTTTTGATTTCTTGACCTGACTTTCTTCATCTTTTTCGCCTGGATCAATTGTATCTATCCAAAATTGATATATCCTCAATGACGTTTGTCAAACTGACAACAATAGAATTACCAGACACCTTCGTGACGGATCTGTTATAATTGTGTCGCTGAGAAATCACAGGCAGTAAACAGTTTTGTCAGTAGGAAATGTGGCATTGCTATGACGTTGTATCAGTTAAAAATAGTCTAGTGAAATAGTCATTCAAAAAAGAAGAATACTCATAAATAGTATTACTGTATATTTATTAATTTTCATTAAAAACTGTTTATTTGTAAATAAAAATCTATAAACGACTATAACATTTCCAAAATAAACATTTAAACTTTTGTTTTAATTGATACAGCTCTATTTTGTAATAGGCTATGTAAGCTAATATTGATTATGAGCACGTGTGCTTGGTTGTATAGAAATTTACATCCACTTCAAGTCGGTCAAAATTTAACCAACATAACAAAAAATGATTATAAATTTACTACAGTTGGGACTATGATCAGCGAACCGAGTATAGAATACAGTCTCTCATTGTTTTTATACAAACTCTAAATGCTGTAAACAAATACGACTCTGCAGTCTCTCGATCTTCTCAAATCACAGCTTATCCAATGAGTAATAATGAATTCCTTGGACGCTTGGTTAAACCAAATTTCAAAAATCTTATCATTAACATCGCAATAAATTTTAAATTATTGCTTACAAACTGTGGAACTTGTTTCAAATTTTATCTGTAATATATAATATTATGGGTAGAAAGCTTAAAATTAATTATAATAATAGAATAGAAAGTAATAATGAATTCCTTGGACGATTGGTTAAACCAAATATCAAAAATCTTATGATTAGCATCGCGACAAATTTTGAATTGCTTACAAACTAAGGAAGCTGTTTTAAATTTTATCTGTAAGATATAATATTATGGGTAGAAAGCTTAGAATGGAGGAACATAAAATAAATTTTTATAACAATAGAACAGATTATTCATATGAAGAAAATCTAATACAGGAAAATCATAACATGAAAATAATATTTGTTTCAAAATATTACATTACGAAACTAATTTTTGGAAAATTAGTGGTGTAGTTGTTTTACGACTTTAGACTTTATTAAGTTAATAATAGCATAAAAAAACTGGCAATATTCTTAATTACCAACCATATAAACAAATACTTTCCAATTTAATTCAAATCAAATATTTTTCATATAAATTCGTGTATATTTATTATTTATGACTTAAAGTATGTTGACATAGGTATATGAATTTTATTTTTCTCATCAATTCAAAATAAGTTATATATTCAAATAAAAAGGAAAGCATCAAATCTTATTTTTTATAGTAGGTATATATCTAAAGGGAATATTAAGTTAAATCAAAACGTTTTCGGTTGTATGAGACTATTATCAATGAGTCTTGATCACACCATGCGTGCAAACTCATAATAAATCTGTTGTAATGAAGACCCACTGATAATGGTCCGATACGATCAAAGACTTTGTGATTAAATTTAGATGTTTTCGTTGTTTGGTATGTACATATTCCTACTACAAAAACGAAACTTTTATACTTCCTTATTATTTAGTACAGTATACTCCCTCTATAACGAACACGGTTATTACGAGGTTTCGCTTATAACGAGGTACATTAGATGTCCCGTGAAATTTCTATTTAACTATAACCCTCTATAGCGAAGAAAAATTTGGTTATAACGAGAGAAAATAAGATTGAAAAACGTGTTTTTTACGTTTTATACTTACGGCCCGGCCGTAGCTTTAAATAAATATCATTTCTGTTTAATCTACCGACCGGTATATTGTATTGTAGGAAATATACAATTTATGATTCATAAGTGTCAGTGTAGGGGTTTGACCATTCGCACGCAATAATGTAAATAGACTTAAAAACATGACAAATGAAACAAATTTCACCAGAATTTCATTTCACAGTTGTACTTTTGTACTTTTGCGTCTTGAAAGTTGTGTTGCAGAGATTAGATAGTCACATAGATTACACACTATGACTCCTAAAAAGAAAAGCATTTACTTTAGAAGAAAACATTGACATCCTTAAAGATGTTGAGAACGGTAAGAAGAAAGCAGAAGTTTGTCGTGAAAGAGGAATTCCAAGTTCCACTCTATCTACCATGCTCCAAAATAAACACAAGATTTTTTAAGCAGGTTCGTCTTTTTTCGGTAAATCGAAAAAACTACGTGCCGCAACTAATAAAGAACTCGATACTGCAATGGTTAAATGGTTTACCGTAAACAGGGCTGCGAATGTTCCAATAAGTGGACCACTGCTTCAAGAAAAAGCAACACAGTTTTTTTAGTGATGAGAATTTTAAAGTATGGAGTGGGTGGATGAGCCATTTTAAGGCCAGGCACAAAATTACGTGTGGAAAAATTAGCAGTGAAGCGAAGAGTGTTTCCAAAGAAGTCACCGACAACTGGTTGAAGAAATGGCCTACAATAAGACAAATTTACAGTGACGATAATGTTTTAATGCCGACGAGCTGGAACTTTTTTAAAACTTCAGATAAGACCTTCAAATTCAAAAATGAAAGTTGTATAAATGGCAAGTTATCAAAAGAAAGGGTAACTGTACTCGCGTGTGCCAACATGTCCGCTTCCGCAAAAAAGAAGTTAGTCGTCATTGGGACATCTCAAAAACCACGATGTTTCATAGGTGTAAATCAGCTTCCTGTCACATATAAATTTAATAAAAAATCAGGGATGACAGCAGAGATTTTTGGTGGAGAACTTTTGAAGTGGGATAGAGAGTTGGGACATCGAAAGATTATTTTAATTGTTGACACTTGTACATCCCATCCGAAAGTTAACGGTTTAAAAAACATTCAACTTCTTTTTTTACCCCCAAATTGCACATCTG